ATTTCAAAAATCACCCAAAACATGCTACTTAAACTAGATTGGATTGTATTTCATTATCGACATATTATATATCCAATATGTATACTCCATAGAAAAGTGGACCGGGTTTCGGCATTAAATTCCCCGGCTAAAAAGGGGGCCCACCTCGGCCCTGCCTGAATCTAACCATTCATTAACATCATTGGATTGAAGGTTGGTTTTAAACTCGGGCTAATGCATTGTCAATTAGAATACAGTGATGGCAGCCTTTCCCCTGTAGCAGACAGAGACCATGCAGACAGAGGTGAGGAAATAGGCACAGTGTGAGGGCGACGTCCCGGGAGCTTTTATTGTTATCTAACGGGATCAGGGCGCATCTTCAAAGCTACAGAGATCAAGAGTCCCACAGGGCCGATTGGGACTGCGACCTCCACAGCGATAGATCGCCGAGGAGACAACTAAGGGCCAGGCTTTTATCTTTATTGTCGTATAACTAAACGATCAGTTTAGTGGCATTGTTCCTGAGCAGATGCCTGCAGAGATCGCTGCAGGCGCGGCCCGTAAAACCGGCCAGGTTAGTTAGTTTGTGGAAATATGTACATACAATTTTGCTAATATTTGGTGTTTCCTTCTTTTAAAAATAAACATCACCATATATATATGTGTATACTTCTACTACTATTATTATTATTAGGATAATCCGGATGATTGCAATTTTGCCTTTTAATAACAATGTTCATGGTTTTATCCATGAGCCTGTTTGCTTTCAGAGGTCTGCGGTTTCCTCGCAGCTTGTTTTGACGTATTTCCATTTGAACGCGGAGACAATCAGCTGTAATTGTGTTGCTACTGTAATACCTTTGATCTGTAATGTTTGAAGTGCTTGTGCCAAATGCTAGCCCTCAGGTAGCCGGCGCCAGCGCACACCAGGGTATCAAAGACATGTCAATACGAAAGTGAACCCCCCTCCTCACCTCAGCCCGCTTTGATAACACAAATGGGACCACGACTTGAAGTCTTCAGGGGCAACAGTTTTGCCGGTGTTTACAGACCTGGAAGACAGACAGTGTCCATTATGGGTGACTTTATCAAGCGCAGTACGTTTACACGTATAATATCGGACTTTTACGTACAAAGTAATTTTCCAAATCACGTTTTAAATTTCAAATTAACCCTTCAAACGTACATCTATAGTATGTTTTTAAAGTCGTGTTTAAAATGCTCTTTTTAACTTTTAGACACTGTTCCTGTATGACACTTGAGCAAAAAAAAAAAAACTATTCAACGTTTTTACTCACACATTTCACCTTTAGGCACAAATTATGATTGTAAATGTATATATTAACCCCTATATTTGATCTTTGTGCGCACACAATGTTCCGATTGTATTATTATTCTATTTATAAAATTGTTGTTAATGACTTCAACTCACAGTTTCTCCACATAATCCTATTTCCTTTAGATATTAATTATTAATAATTGACACATTTCATTTTATATTATTGTTATACATATTCCCTAGTTTGGTGTTTTTGCAGATGCGTTTATTAAAGGTAAACCTTAACGGTGGAAAGCACACGATATTCGGTGACTATTTTTGGCTCCTCCGGAGTTGGAAGATTTTTTGCCTGTATGCAGAAGCTTGCCGTTTTTAACAGTTCTCCTCATTTTTGTATTCCGATTATGTCTGTTTCTGTAAAGTCTTGTAGTTTCAGGCAGGCCAGACAAATGCATGAGCTCCGGGGACTCTCACAGACTCAGTGGCGCCAGGTCTTCACACACACACAGGATATGTGAAGACTTCAATAACGAGCCATTAACCCCTAATCATGAGGATCGATCGGGCTTTACAAGCGCCTTCACACATGCAAATGGCGACGAAGGCCAGGCCCCAATAAAAGCTGACCCTGCTCCACAACCACAGGACATTCACTCACTCTGACTTGGACTTAGTGACAGGTCACGAAGCAGCACTGACAACATGGCCAAATACTTCTCCGTGGACTGGCTGGCCCAGAGCCACCGCGACATCACCAACAGCGAGGAGAGCCACGGAGTTGGCACGGACACCGCACTGACCCACAGACCTCACATTCCCTGCGTGGTACAGCCGCGCCCCCCCGCTTTGGGCAGGGGTTACCTGCAGCCAAAACCCAAACCTTTGAAGACTGTTGAAAACACAGAGTCGTCAGAAAACCAAAGGAGTCTGGACTCGACTTTTTCTTCCCCTGTGCATCCAACAAGCTGTTCCTCACCAAGTAAATTGACTTGAACTTTTTTTTTAACTCAACCAGTGATCGATCCAAGTCGCACGTATAATGTCTTTAACATTTCATTTATTTAGTTTCAGAAACCAGTGGCTACTCCTCCGGCTACGAGAGCGAAGCAGCTTCCTCCGAGTGCCCGTCCGTGGATGAGGGGAGTGAGACGGACAGAGAAGGACCACAGCGCCGAGTACGCACCAAGTTCACCCCGGAACAGATCAACAAGTTGGAAAAGATTTTCAACAAGCACAAATACCTGGATGCTGGGGAGAGAGTGAAGACAGCACAGAGGCTGAACCTGACAGAGACACAGGTACGACTCACGGTCTTACATTCTGGATCGATTTAAATCAGTTGAATATCAGTGTGTTTTCTTTGATGCCTTTATACTAAATTTCCCGACCTTTTCCACTCTCTTAGGTGCGCACCTGGTTTCAAAACAGAAGGATGAAAATGAAACGGGAAGTACAGGACTACCTCACCCCCCAAGTCCCACCGGTGATCTTCCAGGCTCTGGCCCCAGTTCCGTATAGCGGCATGGTCGCACAGAGACCCCACTATCCGGCAGCCGCGACCCACCAGCCCTATTATTACCCTCTACAGATGCCGCAGATGGTCCTTCAACAACAAATGCCCCCGCACCATCCTCCACATCTCATCCTCCAAAATCCCCACTGCTACTGATAGACTGACCAAACTGCAGAGACTGTTCCCACTGTGACACTTAAAATCAGAAGAATGTGCAATCTGGAATTGTATTATTTGTTGTGTGTATTTTATTGTATTTGAGAAAATAATGTATTTGATTCGCAGAAAATTATATTTATCTTTAAATAAAGTCTATCTTCTATAATGCACTAACAGGGTGGAACATGTTTTTCTTTTTTTGCCTAATATATTTTTTTACTTTTGGGTGTTTGACACCAGTCATGTCTGTGGGAGCCTTATCGGCTCATCGTAATTGTGGGATTAGCTCAACATGAACGGATCAAACCGTCTTTAGGTCTGTACTATAGCTGATAGGCCTGTGTATGCAGATAGCAGCTGCTAGTGCTTAATCACTGCTCATTGTATGGGCCACTTGATTTGATCCCCTCATTATATAAAGAGACAAAACTGCAGGCAGCCCGAAGCAGGGACAATCACATTAAATCACTAAGACAGATTCGATTTGCAGTACTGGTTTGGACAGGTTGTGTGTTTTAAACATCTCTTAGAAGTACTAGTATCTAGAATCTCATCACAACTTGTTGAGCGAAGAAAGCACTGCTAAGATGCGCTGCTGCCGTCTCATTGTTTACCCTCACCTCTGCACTTCAAACGTCGGCTAACGGGGGATCACGGTCCGATAATTAGCCCTGATTAAACCGCCTATTGATGAGTTTACACGTCACCACAGGGATCCTCCGGCTTGGCTCCAGAGAGTCTGGAGTTTGTGTGGGCCTAGAGTCTGATCAAGGAGGATAAACATGACTATGTGATGGGATTTGGTGATACCCTACTCGATTTACGACAGTTATAAGATAACACATAGGATGAAAGGGTTCAAGGAAGCGAAACGTTTTGATTCACTACTCCGAAATATAAATATTGAGTGAAAGTGTTGCAAAAAGGCTGATATCATATATATAGACAGCATATACATATACAGTATATATAACAGTATATATATATAAATATATATATATACACTGTATTTATATATATACACAATATATTTGTATATAAAATTATTGTATATATATATACACACAATATATATAAATATATATGTATATATTGATTTAAACATTAAGTTAATTCCTGTAACGTTCTTACACATTTACTAAATTCTATTCTATACTAAAAGACATATGAAAGTGGATGATGGTAGTATATTTAGCGCCGCCAGCCTTCCAAATACAAGCGCAAAAGGAGCTTTCGCACTTTCTCTATTTCGCTGCGACCCCACCCCTCAGCGCAGTCCCTATTAAAACGACTTTGTCAACGAGTTGCCCCAAGAGCCTGTTACACCTCTGACAACCGGGAAGCACCGTGTGTTATAAACACATTTAAATACTGCTCCATCATATCTGAGAGCCATCTTCTTCATGTATCACGTCCTCAAATATTTTATTTGGCGTAATACCTCAAACTAAGACCCACGGGAACTTTAAAAGGGTTGAATATCTGATTTTTATCCAATACTATGCAGTATTCAGTGGCGGATATTGCCCTGAATCACTTTATTCAGAAATCTTTTAGAGTCAGAGATGCCAGGTTACTGATACTCAGACTTAGTGGCGCCGCAGCTTGTCGTCCAGCCATGAACGTGAGAAAAACCACAGCCCAGCCTCTATTAACCTCAATTACAGCCGCCATCGAGTTTCTATCGTTCCGCCGACAATTTCTTTACATATGCAAATAAAGAAGTGTGCCCCTCCTATGTTTGCGCCATGAATCACCCGGAGGGAAGCAGCACAGACCCTCCACATTCATTGAAGAAAACAAGAAGAAACAATTCTCAGTATAGCATTTTCACAAAACGTCTTACTAAAACAGATAGATAGATAAAAAAAATACAAAATACAAATACAAAAAGAGTAGCAGCAGACTGTTAAGAAACCTGAACAGTGGATGTTAGTATATGTATATAATAGCGTTTGCCATCCCCTGTGCTCTTAAATCCATTTATATTAGTTACATATATTATTTAGTTATGGTTATACGTCTGTTTGTAGGTATGGAAACATGGCAACGAACTGGTGAGTTAAGATTAAATCCGAGAATTTGGCTGTATTTAGTTTCAGCCTCTTTGCTTTCAGCACCCTACGTTGGACAGCTCCTCGTTAGCGAACACGGGAGTTGCATGTCCAAACTTGGTCCACTTTGCTATGGAGTATATAAACTGGATATATAACATGTCGCTAATGATTAATGTTTAAAACTGAATTTAAATGTGGAACAGGGTAAATTGTACACTTGGCGCTGTAGGTGGCAGTGATGTTCCTTAATGCAGACTTCTAGGTTGGCTTAAGAAGAAAAGAAGAAGACAACACAACACGACAAAGCTGAATAGACGCCAGGATATTTTGCGACTGTGATTCATGGGGAAGTCACGGGTGAGTGTGAACGGGGGATGATTGTGGGAGTTCGCAACGCCGGCTGCAGCATCTTACAAACAGATCTTGGGATTTTCCAAAACCGCCGTCTCTCGGGTTTACCGTGGTATGAAAGTCATAAGACGTTCTGGGGGCACACGGGGGGCGGAGGGTGCATACGA